TAAATATATAATAATAATATATAATATATATAATATATAATAATAATAAAATATATAATAAATATAATAAATATAACATAACCTTAGAGCTTGTGCAATGTCATTGGAAATTTGATATGTCTAAAAAGACTGCCTGTTTTAAAGGGCAGATGATTTTTTTCAAGAGGATACACTGTTGTCATCTTGAAATACTTATATGCATATACGTCCAGTGCATAAATTTAATCAGCTGTCTGTAAGTACATATTGGCTTTAAGGAGTACCTGGATGACCTGGCCTGTTCAATCAGTACATTTACAAGAAAGGCATTGACCCTTGTTATGGTTACATAATATGAGATCACATACCAGGTGCAGTTGGTAGATTTATGCTCATAATTTTGTATGAGGAAGTTATTATTTTGAATCACATCTTGTAAACTTTAATTGGATAAAGTCTGAACGGTTGGTAGGGGGGGAGGGCACATGGAGATCTAGATATGTAGGTAATAATGGAAGATTTTCAAATGAAGGCTTAAAGTAGTTGGTCTGCATGTACATTCATCATTGTGTAACTAATACCATGCTGTTCTTATTCTTCATTTATTCATCTTCTGTTATGCTAGCCAACATTAACAGGAAACTTGCTTGCCATTATAATGAATTCATAAAATGTTCCTCATTATTTATTCTGATCTTTAATATGAAAAATAGTATGTAAGTGTTGCCTGTTATAACTACAAGTATTCCCACCTACCAAACATCACTTCTCTTAAGGAAACCTGAAATCCTCTACACACATGCCTGGGTGTATTACTGATTATTCATTTTAAGTGCTTCATGCCCTGGCATTCTTTCCTGTGCTGATATGTCTAACCCATCAACATTCACAATGGGTCATTTCTTACAGGTGTGCTTTCATTTATGGTCGGGATGGTCACCTGGAAAAATTTACACGGGAAATGCAAGATAGACTGGTCCGTCAAGTCATCGAACCCATGGCCTGTGATGGACTCCGTACCATCTCAATTGCTTATCGGGACTTTGTGCCTGGTAAAGCAGAAATTAATCAAGTGCACATTGACAGTGAACCTAATTGGGATGATGAGGAACATACTGTCAACAATCTAACCTGCCTCGGATTGGTAGGAATTGAAGACCCTGTTAGGCCAGAGGTGAGCATAATACATGTGATCAACATGAGTGTTATGTTCAAGTTGCACCTGGTATGACTTTATTATTTTAAAATCCAACAAATGTTGTACAAATCTTTTTCACTTCATTCCAGATTATACAATATTGTCTTGAAATAAGTCTTAGTTCATTACTTCTGATATGGGTACAGAAGTAATTAAAGATCTCTGGGAGAGAGATATTACTTTATATGTGTAATTTAGTGGGCATTTAGTCCATTAAAAGAAAACCAAAAGTAGTATGAATAGCAAAATGAAAATTTTAACAGTAATATCATCCCATGTCCTAATGTTTTTAAGCCTTGTATATGCACTTTACCCTGAGTATCTGGCTGTTGTGTTGTGTTGTCTCTCACCATATAGAATGAATGTTTTCACTATAATTTTACTTCTTCTTTTTTTAATTTGTTGAAGTGAGTGAATATTTTTGAGTCATGTAATATGTTTTTTGTTATATGAGTGTCTGTGTAAATATGTGACTGGGGAATTAGTATAAAAGATTAACACTTTGTCCTGTTGCAAGATTGTGGAACTTAGGTTTATCATTGCATGTCCTCATTTATTATGTATTTACCTTCTGCATTTAACATATTCTCACACTTTTTATGTTGAATGTTTCAGCTAATGTGTAGCACCTCAAACATTCATGAGTGAATGTTCATATAAAGTTGGAATACATTTCTTATCACAGATGAATTACAAACATTCAACAAGGCTTGGGCACTCAATGTCATCTTCACAGGCCCATATTGACATTTAATCTTGGTCACAATGTTAGAAATGGCATTCACAGAGTTTGCTGAAATCTGTACTTATTTCTGTGGAGCTTCAGATTTATTATCTGCATTCACGTTTCTTTTAAAGGTGGTATTTGTCTACAGAAATAGTTTACATGATCAGTCGCTGTGTTGTAATTATTATAAAAGTACAGTTATTACGGAAATGATGATGATGATGATGATGATGATGATGCCTGCATAAATTCCAGGTGTCAGGTTGACGTGGCATCTGAAATTTTGTGATCGTACTTGTAATTTGCTCCTGTTACATTATTACTAGTGCATGAACCACCAAAGATGACAGGCAGAGTAGGCAGAGTAATTTCTTTTTTTTTCTTTCCTTTATCCCATTTTATCACTTCCTTCGTTCTTTCTCTCTTTCTGCCTTACCATCCCTCTTATTTGTTCATCCTATCATTCCTCTCCTACTCCTTCATATTAAAACAATTTCCTCACCATTAATCTTCTGTTTTTCCAGCTTGTGGTCAGTCTGCTCCCCATATCCTAACAATGGCGGAGATGTGGATGTTTCAGTTCTCCCTTTATTAATGTAAATGAGCAAAGTTCTCCCCTGAGATATTTTATTTTAAATTCTGGCTCTGTTGTTAGAGGTGGCTTCTAGATTAGAGGAAAATTATGCTGGCTTGATTATTGTTGTTGTTGTCACCATCGTTGTCATCATCATTGTCACCGCAGTCATTTATTGATGACGACGATGACTGTACAGTTTTGTTTTGCAAACTGTGAAGAATTTAATGTGAAGGATGTAGCTTACAATGATGTTTAATATTAAAGCATCTTATAATGCTGCCACAAGCTACTATTGAAGTTTGGATTCTGAACAGTGTATGCTTAACCATTTCCTATCCTTTTTAGTACCACCCTCACTACCACCAGTAACAAATTAACTTGCATAAAGATTAAAAAACGAAAAAGACTGCTTTAGAATAGGAAAATATAAAACTCCTTTGTCATGTGTTTTTGTATATGAAGTACAGGGCAGGCAGGCAGTTGATCGGTCGGTCATGGAATAACAGTATATTCTTCTTCACTTCATGTTACCTTGTAACTCACCCAGAAGTGCCCCCACAAAAAAATGAAACAGTTTTGTTACATTTTAAATTACCATTCTGCACACTTGGGGCCGACTGAGAGAAAAATGGAGGGGGAAGAGAGGGGAGAATCATGATGTTTTGTGGGGGGGGATCAGGTTCTTTTTTATATGCCCATGCATACTCTGCTTTCAGTCCCAGCCAGTCCTTCATTCTCTGGGCATACCTGTACCTCCAGCTTATAAATCCTTCCACTATTTGTCCCATCTCTTTGCTCTGACCTATAGCTCTTATAGATCCTCCATGCTTTCACTTTTCTCATTACTGATACTGCTTCCTTCAGGACTCCTACCTCCAACAGTAATTGTTGAAAGTGAGGGTGATGTTGGAGGAGTAATACTACTTTAATAAAGTTGTGCTGTAAGTGCAACCGCCTCTGTGGTCTAGTGGTCAGAGTTTCTGGCTATAGATCCAGATGTGCTGGGTTCAATTCCTGGCACTACCAGATTTTCTGAGAAGTAGTAGATCTCGAATGGGGTCTACTCAGCCTTGTGAGGATAATTGAGGAGCTATTTCAATTAATGGATGTGGGAAGTCGCGCTGACCATGCGTCACCCTCTGTCCACAAAAGTTGGCAGTAACTTCACCGGCAAACAGCAGTCACTCAGTCTGTATAGTGTGCTTGCCGACTTAAGCTACGGAGTTTGTCTGTTTGTGCTGTAAGTGTAAATTTATGCTATATGCATGTAAGTGTGTCATAATTAGCAAGGAGCAGATAAGTGGAATGGGTTCTTTCATTGTGAATGTGATAAAAGAAGTAGATCTTTAATATTGTATTTAAGCATGCTGTTGCATTAACTTCTGCAACAGTGCTACTCGTTTCTTACCTCCCTTCCTCACTACATGTTTCAGCCATATACACGGAATGAAAATGACGCTACTAACGGGCGGGGCGAAGAACACAGTCAAAAGTCCATACACTGCACCAGCATGAGTAGGAACTACATGTACACAACACACATTCTGCTGCAGAACAAATCAAAACACAATGATAATTGGATAAAGTGACAGCAGCCCCCAACCAAAAATATTGAAATTTTAATTAGGCTTTATGGATTACCTCCTTACTCACTCATGGGACTGAGCCCTTCTTGAGGAGTCGCCAATTCTGCAGCTACTCAGGAACTTCCCAGCATTTTATGGAACCCGAAGGTTCATTACTGTGTTCACAAGAGCCCTCCACTGGTTCCTCTCCTGAGCCAGATCAATCCAATCCATACCATCCCATCCTATATCTCTGAGATCCATTATAATATTGTCCACACACCTATGCCTTGGTCTTCCCAGTGGTCTCTTTCCTTCTGGCTTTCCCACCAATATTCCTCATAGCTCCCATTCATGCTACATGCCCTGACCATCTCATCCTTCTTTAATTCATCATTCTAATTATACATAGAGAAGAGTACAAGCTATTGAGTAATAATGATTTTAGTGATTTTTAATAGGGTACTTTTATTCTATGTATGAAATGTCACGTTCGCATGTAATAGGTGAAGTTGCACATACTGCACAGTGAAACAGTTTTAGCAAATAGAGACGCCTGATGATGGTTATTACCTGAAATTGACAGATACAAATTTTCTTTGTGGTTAGCTGTAAGTATGTACCCAAAAGTGGATTACATAATCTTTTCAGCATGGTTCATATGAAATACTTTTGTATCCATTTTCAGTAATAGAATGTGAGTTTTAGTTGTGAGCCAGCATAGGCATTTTTGTGTGTGTTCATATTTCAGGTTCCTGAAGCTATCAGAAAGTGCCAGAGGGCTGGAATCACTGTGCGGATGGTTACTGGAGATAATATCAACACAGCACGTTCCATTGCCACAAAATGTGGAATTTTGAAACCTGGAGATGATTTCCTTATTTTAGAAGGAAAAGAATTCAACCGAAGAATACGAGATAGCAATGGAGAAGTAAGTATTTTGTACCATTTCATTTTCATAAGAAAAAGTATATAGAATGTGTAAGATTTGAGGTTTATATAGAATATGTTTTCAATATGTTTTGTCAGAATTCTCCAATACTGCTGTCCACAGGGAATTCAAAATTATGATATTTGCTCTTTCAAGATCATTTCTAAATGATATTTGACAGTAAATTAATGGCATTTATAGAACAAGAGGCAGTTTTGCTCCAAAATGATAATGCCCATGTCCAGTAAGAGTTTTGTCATAGCTGGGGATGGAAAAAGTGTGGTAGCACAGTAGCTGCACAACTGCCAGGAGGCTATTGGAAGTTGCAACATGCATAGGCTGGGTACTGACATTGCAGGCAAGTGGAGCAGTTTTGCAAGGCTAGATTGTGTGACAGTGGTGACATCACTTGGATGCAGATATTTGTAAAGCATTTAGCCACCAGGCAGGCTGCTCTGAGCTCCTACACTCTCTTCAGCCCTTGATCACATGATAATTTAGTCCAAGCAAATTGATTGGTGGCAAAATGTTCTTTCAGTGGCAGAAGGTTATAGAATAGTTCTCTCTTACTGTGGTGTTCAAAGAGTGATTGCTGTTTCTCTTTTTTTTTTCTTACGGAACCAAATTAGGATACAAGATATAGTTCTTGCACTATGTTGAAACAACTTTTCCTCCTGGAAATGGATTTTAAATATTAATAGTGAAAGGAGCTCTTAAGAAGATCTGCCATATCCCTGAAGAAAACGTTTATTGTTGCATGAAACCTGTAATTCTTAAAATGTTTGTGGGAAATACACCTCTTCAAGTCTGCCAGAATTTCTTCAAGATTTGAGGGTCCAACTTCCGATTTGGCAGTCTGAATAATGTTCTGTATGTTCGATGTTTGGTTGCGACATCCAACTTTGGCACTCTGAGGATATTTCAAGAAAGTGTGAACTGAGATGATGTTGCTCAAATTTTTAATTTATATCCTAAGACAGATTTTCAAGCGAAAGGCATTTCACCATAATACCATGAATCTGGTGACTAAAAGGAAACCTGAGTAACATGGAGTAGTGTGTTATTAAGTGAACTATGGCAGGACACACGAATAGGTGCACGAGATTGTTCTTGGTGCTGAAAGAAAATTTAATTGATGTGTGTGAGAGAGATTTTAAAGAAATTGGGACAAAGAGTATCTCTAACTCATTGGGGCATTGGCCTGCTTGAGATGCTAATAGATACTTAACCAGTTAATAAATTTCCTATGTATTTGGAACCCATAAGTTGATTACCATGTTCACAAGAGCCCCCCCATGATCCGTATCCAGAGCTTCAGGAGTTCATAATAAGATGAGAAGCAACACAATTCAGAACTGTTTATATTGTCTTTATGTTTAAATTTGCATTCAGTATACAGACTGGAAGTTGCAATTGAAACATTTTTAATCTGTACATAGTCTCCTTTTTCCTCTTTTTATTTTTAAAACGAAAAACTATGCCCTTCACTGAAGATGGAGTAAATAATGCTTAAAGTTGCACATCAGAATGTATGATTATTTGAATGAGAAACAATGTAGATGCACTTTATGAAGTGTTGAAAGAAGTAAATTCCAGGATGTTCTTTTAGATTGCTTTAAAGATAATGAAAAGCTAAAACTACATAACCCTTAAAGGAATTAATATATGGAAATGAAGAAATTTTACATAAATTGAGTAAATGAATTTTCAACATACTTTATGGGTTCAAGTTTGAAAAACAAGATGGAGTAAGCAGTTCAGCATTAAAGGAAATTCATGCTTGATATAAAGTTTGAAATTTAGCTACATCACTTTGTTTGAAGGAATTGAATACAGATACATAAGGTAGTTTTAACAGATTCAAAGTGTAAATTGTAGGAATGAAGTTTGTGGTGTAGTGATGGATGATGATGTCCATCATCATGGTCGTGGTGGTGGTGGTGGTGGTGATGACAACAGCAGTGATGACTGTCACAGAGAAAAAGAAGATTGGAGGATTATGAGAGTGGGATGAAAGTTGTGATGGTTTTTGTCATTTGATGAAGAGAAAGTGGATCGTGAACTCATTGATAATGGGAAAGATGGTGGTGTTGATGAATAGAAGAGATGTCATGGTTATGAAAGATTAAAGGTAGAAATGGTAGTGATGGTGGTGGTGGTGGCCGTGATTGCAGCTACAAGATGACAGAAAATGTCTCGTGATAATGATCGGACAGAACACATTGAGGTTAAGGACTATATTTAATTACTGACACTTGTTTTAAGAGAGTAGAGAGACAAAAATTTACTGTTATGCATTTATGTGGTTTGAGATTGTCCTGGGTTCTTATGAAGAACATTCTGCCAACAGGAAGCTCTGGTAGCATCATTCTGTGTTCACTTGCTTGATGACACATGAACACATAGCTACTGGAAGAATTATAAAATTAAAGACTTATATAACCTCCATGCACATGAGTCATGAATTATAACCCTTCAGTAGTAAGATGGGACTTTGTTCTAATTCAATTACATTTCAACATTTGTTGACAGTAATATGGAAAATTGAAATTAATATTTAAATGTTAAAACTGGGCACCTAATATGTAGCTTTCTTTATAGCAGAAAGTGTGCAGTGGGTGTTGATATTTTGTAAGAGGAAATTCTATGATTTTTGTATTTTACAAAATGTGTGAGAAATTATTTTCTGTGTTTGAAGAAGACTGGAATAATTCATTTAGCATCCAAACCATAATATACTTTTATTAGTTTCTGCATTGTATAAATACGTTATGACTTTTAGTTTGTTATTTAACTAATGTTTTTTCTTTTTAACAAAATACTGAATTAAAATCAAATTAAAAAAATGTACTAATAGGAAAAATTGAAATTAGAGTGGCTCTTTTCAAAAGATACTTGAAGATGGTTAGTCATTGGATTTGTGCAATGTGTAGATGATTTAAAAACAAAAGTGATTTATTCACCAAAGCACAGTATCGTAAGCCAGAAGAACTGAAACAAGAAAGACAATCATGAAGCAGAGTAAAATAATGTAGATGGATGGAAGTTACAAAGCTGCCATTATGTGTTGTCACTTCTGTCACACTCTTTGCATGGTTGACATCTTGTAACTGCCTGGAATACTGAGTTATTTGGCTTTCACTAAAACAGTTGAAATTTATGCTGTAAGGGAATATATACGAAGTTACCTGGATGTCTGATCTTACAAAAGCAAGTTATCAGCATCTGTTTCATCATTGTTTTACTTAGTTTGATTTTAAATGAATCTGAGATTTTGTATATATTAGTAAAATGCTGGATGCCATCTCCATTGATTTCGAGATAGTTAATTAATTTAGGAGAGTTACTCAAAATAGATTCAAAATACGCATTGAAGGGAGTTGTTCGTTCTGCAACATTTGTTGTGGCATATCTTTATTAGAGACTGAACAATGTGGAAGTGAGAAGCTGTGAGGGAGTGGAACTTTTAAGTTGCTGATTTCACTGCTCCAAAAGCAGCTTGTTTTACAATAATTTCATGATGAGATTGAAATAAAAATATAAATGGAACTGTAATGGTGAGTATAGCCATCACATATGGTAAAGTAGCTTCTGTTTGATGTTTGAGGTGGTATTGTTTATGTGCTGCACTTGCCTGCTGGGATAAAACAGCCTCAACAAGAAATACTGTGCTACTGAAACTGCAAACCACTTGGTCCATCTCAGGCTTCATTTAAAGTAGTAAACTTTAAATTTAAGGTTTTCTGACAAATGATATAGCAAGTATTGTGCTTCTGATATTCTGGGTTGATTATTAAGGTTATCATACTGAAGGCTATGTTGAGATTGTGGTTATCATGTACATTTTAGTTTTTATGTCCAGTAGTGTACTTGAACCTAGTTACTCATATTCACTCTTTCCAAATATGAACAGTGGTGGGATCTTCTCAAAAATTGTGTGTTTGCCACAAAGCTGAAGGACTGAAATTAACCCCCAAGCAGCACAGTATTTTTTGAGAGGATCCCTGCCTGTTCACGTAATTCTCCAGGATTAAGAAGGATGCATCTGTGCATTCCTGTTTAGCATTAAACATTCTGAGGTAGAAATAATGTACATATTACCTTAAATATTCTTGCTTGATATATGTAATGTATAATAAATCATCAGTCTATGTGTTATTGTTATGTGGAATTGGTACATAGTAGCTTTACAGCTTCCAAGATAAATGAAAATGTAATTTCAATATATACAATCAGTTACATACCACTGTAAGGTAGCAAAGTTAAGTAAGGTTTAGTGGCAAGAACACAATATTCCAAAGTGGCTGTCAGCTGTGGTGTGACTAGCATCTTTCTCCACACATTGTGGCATGTTAGGTAGTATGTCTGTGATGGCATCTGTAATTCTATTCTTTAATTCATTCATCTTTCTTGCTAAAACTGACTGGAACAGATTTCCTTTGACAGATTATTAGAAAACAAGTCTGCATCAGTTAGTAGGTCAGCCAGTTGGACCATCTTGACCAGTCCTTTGGCCTGCAAAGTGATGATTTTATAAATTCTTTAGTCACTGCAGTTCTCTACATTGAGGAGTTCTAAATTATATCTGACCTTGCAATAATGAGATAATGGTCTACAAAAATTTAACATTTTTTGCAAGATTTGACACTACTGTTTACAAGTGCTAGAGTTGTGAATTGTAGCTGCTAATACTGAGTGTATTGCTTTATAGTGGTATGTAATTTGTTATATGTAATGATGTTTAATATGTGTCTGCCTTTGAGTGCTCACTTGTGTATGACATCATTCAACCTGATTTCCCCCCCCCCCAAATCCTTATTTGCTCTTTAAAGATGCAAATTGAAGCCTTAGGACATTGTGGAAGTTTCAGCTTAGTCAGCTCATTGATGTGTAGAAGACATAGTCTCATTTGAGCACTTGACCATTATGTAATATGATTGCTAAAATGTCAAATTTTAAACCAGAAATGGTATTTCATATTGTTTTACTGCCTGTCACTTTGCCATAGGTTATGGTGTCAACGTTGCCGATGATAGTTCGTAGAGTTCACATGTTTTCATATTGTGGCATGCCGCCAGAAAGCCAGAATGGTTGAGGAAATCAGGGTTGATTTCCTAGGCAACGAATAACGTTGCTGCGACAACGGCTAGGGATCAGAATGCCTCCATTGCTATACAACAGCTAGCAATATCCAAGCAATGAATTGTTTGAAGCAGTGTTTGCATAGCAGCGGGCGAAAATAACCCTTTGATAAGGTGTTCCCTGTGCAGTCCTAGTGCAAGATACAACAATTCGTATTTGGCAAGAGACCAGCAGAGTGAGTCAGTGAGTTCATATCCAACAGCGCTAAGGACCGTTGTGCTCTGAGCAGACCAGAGCAGAGCAGAAGACACTTCACCGAGATTAGCAGTGCAAGAGTGTATAACCATGAAGAAGAAACCTCCAAAGATGTGATAAGTGTGATTAACTGTACTTGTGAGTGTAAAGAGTGATTGTACAATAAATGTTTGTTCCAATCCGAGAACCCACACAAATTTCTTGTCACATTACATAGGAAACATGTGACAACTGGTGTCAGAAGCGGGATTGGCTTGGATTCTGGAACAGAGTATTGGCCCAAGAGTGCAAGTACAACACCACACCAAAACAATGGAGTCACAGCAGATAATGGAGCTCCTGCTGGCCATGTGAGAAGACAGGAAGGCTGACGAGAGAAAATGAGAGCCGACCCGGAACGGATGATGCAACGAATGATAGCCAAAATGGATGCCAGTAGGAAGGCAGACTGAGATGAAAGGAAAGCCCGGTGAGAAGAGATGGCCTCAAGAACAAAGCCATGCAAGACGAGAATGGAAGCGGACAGAAAACGGCACGGGAAGAAATCGAAGCTGAAAGAAACAACTGAGGCACATATGGAAGAAGAAGAGCCGACCTCAGTGGACACGAAACATGAGGCGCACAACAATACGAGGTTCCTAAAGAAGACTCCGAAAATATGCCGGTCGGAGGACCGAAGAAGAAATGTAGGAACTGGAAGTTTGCTACAGAGCGACGAGGAAACCTGAAGGAACGGACTCAGGGCAGGGACGGTTGCCGAAAGAAATTGGCCGTCGCCTGCAGGGAGACAACATGGGAAAAGTGTGGATCCCAGAAGAGATTGGCCATCACCCACAGAGGTACGACCCGCCGTGCGAAAGTGGGACAGTGCAAGGAAAACGCTGTCGGGAAAATTCTTGCCAGTGACAATGTGGTACGACAAGCCCTGAAAGAACAGATGCCCAGGTGGAGCTCAAGATAGCTGTCACCTCTGGGAAGAAGAGGGTCGGTCTACAAGACTCTCAAGAAGACCCTAAAGCTGGAATTCGTAAAGGGAGCAACCGCGATGTTCGGCGGGTTGCGGAAAGCGAGAAACTCATCGCTGTGGGGGTATCAGCGCCTTCAGGAGCGACAAAACAACAATTGCACTTTGTGGAGGAGTCGACCCCCGCCAAAACGTAAACAGAAGCAGCAAACAGAGGAGGAGACGGTAATGTAGAAGCACCTGCCTCCCCAGCAAGTGGAGAATGAGAAAGAGAAAGGAAAAATTGTGGACGATGATGAGAACATGAAGTGCTGCTCGGGACAAGCACCCTTGAAGGAAGGGGTGGATGTAGCTCTCATAAAATGAACACAAAAAAAAAACGAAGGAAAGGGAAACACTGTTAGGCTGTTCGGGATGAACAGCCTTTAGGAGGGAGCAACATGTCATGCTGCTAGAAAGCTGGAAGCGTTGAGGAGATTAGGGTTGATTTACTAGGCAACAAGCTATGTTCCCATGACAATGGCTAGGAATCAAAACGCATCCATTGCTATACAACAGCTAGCAATATCCAAGCAATGAATTGTTTGAAGCATCGTTTGCATAACAGTGGGCAGAATTAACCCTTCGACAAGGTGTTCCATATTCAATCTGAGTGTAAGATGCAACAGTTCGTATTCAGCAAGAGACCAGCAGAGTTCTTCCCTTACTTTAGCACTTTGTATCCAACGACAGCTAAGGACAGTTGAGCTCTGAGCAGCAGACACTTCACTCAGAATAGCAGTGCAAGAGTGTGGTAACACTGAAGAAGAAACGTCCAAAGACGTTACAAGTGTGAATAATTGCATTTGTGGGTGTAAAGAGTGATCGCCCAATAAATATCCGTTCAAATCCAAGAATCCTCACATATTTCTTGTTGCTTTACCTAGGAAACACGCGACAATATCATGGTTTGTGGTTGGTTCATGTGTCTTGAATAATCTTTTTATTAGAATACTGAAGAACTGTGATTAGCAGACTTCCTTGTCATGTGCTCACATGCTTCTCCTTTCTTAACCTACTTGGTTGTATGCACAGTCACTGTCATGACAACAGTTTGAAGCAACATTCTGTTTCACCTGTGAAAGGTTTTTGAAAAATAAATTTCAGTTAAAATTTGAACATTCGTTGTAAAAGCAAGAATGAAGTTCCAGTTCCTTTGGTATACTAAACTCGAAAGAAGACTGAAATTGATAAAATACTAAGCATAGGTATAAAATAAGAATTTTGCATACAGATTTTTATATGTAGGAAAACTGAGACCAAATGTGGTTCACTTATATGAGGTAGGTAGCCCGTGATATGAAGTAGCCTTTCCTCATCAGTTGTAGAAATTTTATTCAAAAAGCTTGTTCCTTCCTGCTTCCTAATGACAGCATTGTGTTCTCATATCTTGTATGAGAGTTGAGGTTCTCATGGATGTGAATTTTAAAATTATTGTCTTTGGGATGTGACACCACTAGATTTGGTAGATAGACACCAACATTTCTATGGTACCTGCAGCCTCTATCTTCTACCCTGAAGATGGAGGCAGCAAATTTCTCCACAACACTAATGCATATGTATCAATTTACAGTATCAGATCCCGCATCATAATTTTCATTGCTTGATTCCCAGTGACTGATAAAGTAACTGTTGTCATTTAAGGTGTTTACATCACAGAAAGGGTGTCAACAAGGTGGCCACACACAGATTTATACTGTTATAGTTCTACAATCAGAGAATTTTTTTATTTGTGTTTGTAACTGTATGGCTGTGTGTTGTGCACGTAGGTTCAACAGCATTTACTGGACAGAGTATGGCCCAAACTGCGTGTGTTAGCTAGGTCCTCTCCAACAGATAAATATACTTTGGTGAAGGGCATTATAGACAGTAAAGTTAGTGAAAATCGTGAAGTGGTTGCTGTTACTGGAGATGGGACCAATGATGGGCCAGCCCTGAAGAAGGCCGATGTTGGATTTGCTATGGTAAGTAATGCAACAAATGAAATAGCAGTTGTGTTTGGTGAACTTTAATGCTGTTAAATTCTTTGATGATTACTTGTAAAATATAGTGATCTTTTATTAGTGGAAAGCAAAGACTCAACCCCTACTACTGAATACACAGTTCTGGACCAGTTCACATTCTTACAACCTGCTTACCTGAGATGCAATTTGGTATTACTGTCCAGTCTTTTCTGTCTTCATGTGGTCTCTTAAAAGGTTTCTGCTTCAAATTTCTGAGTAGATTTTTTGTTGTCACATTTTATCTACATGTCTAACAATTACAGTCATGATAGTGCTTGGTGAGCTGTACTCATATAGATCATGGTAGTTCATCATTATGTGATATATATACTCCATACTTTCTCTTTCTGTAAGTTCAGATATTCTCCTCAATTCTCTGTTTTCAGATACTGTGCAATACTTGCATTATATGTTCCTTCTTCAGAATAAGGGACTGTAGTTTGTAGCCATACAAAATCATTTGTAAAATTGATTCTCAAGGTTTTGTGACAAAGATTATTTCATGAATCTTAATCATTAGTCATTAAATTATAATAATTAAAGTACTGAGGGGAGTGCTTACACTTCAAGTGCAGGAGCTAGAATAGCTCAGTCATTATAACAATGGGCTATGGGTTGGAAAGCTGAGGAATTAGAGTTCGATTCCAGCAGGGACAAGAGATTTTTCTTGTGTCCATATCATCCAGATCAGCTTGAGGGCCCATCCAACCTTCTGTCCAATGGCTAGCAGGAGCTCTTTTCNTATGTTTCCGTGGCATGGTGCATATTTAATTAAAATACAAGGACAATTTTACCACCTACCATTCACAGGAACTACTAAATACCACAGCAAACAGAATATAAATGTCAAAACGCAACACAGCTGCTTCTTTTAAAACAGCAAACTCAAAATAGCAGCACAGTGAAACATTTATATATAGAAGGATGTTTATAAAAGAGCAACAGCAAAGCACACCAACAGTCTACAAGCACAATAGCAAATTTCACCTCAAGACTACCCTAGCAAATCGCATCATTTTATGTTTACCTTTGCTTCACATATTCTAATGTTGTTGCTTATTCTCACTAGCCCACAATGCTCTTTTTTTAGTCATTTACCTTAGGTGAAGTAATGATATTGTCCAGTGAAGGAAATTTTCATGTCAGAGAATCTCCAGCAATTGCCCATATGTAGTATTTGATCCATTAAAACGAATTAGTGTTCATTGAATTTTAAAAAATTCACAGTGTTATAACTGAAATGAGGTGAAAACTCAGATGTACTTTTGCCTTTTCAGTCAGCATTAAACATAAATTTAGCTACACAGTAGGAATAGTTATGCCATGCATGTTGATGATATGATAAATTTAGGTTAGATTTAATAATCCAGTAATGTCAACTTATTTCAACTTATTTTCAAGTCAGTAAAATATTTCAGTTTTATACCCAGGATTATCAAGAGTTCTGTAGTGATATGAATGCAATCACTTTACAGGGAATTGCGGGCACAGACGTGGCTAAGGAGGCCTCGGACATCATTCTAACAGATGACAATTTTAGCAGTATTGTGAAAGCTGTGATGTGGGGTCGCAATGTCTATGACAGCATAGCCAAGTTCCTGCAGTTCCAGCTTACTGTTAATGTGGTAGCTGTAATTGTTGCCTTCATCGGTGCATGTGCTGTGCGGGATAGTCCCCTCAAGGTATAGAAACTTGTTCTGTGTCACCGTAATTATTTTATTCACATAACTGTTTCAGAGCCAGCATATGTATGAAATCTGGATTAAATGAAACTTGTTTACCTCAAAAAATCTGTCTGATCCTGAAAATGTAGAGTAACAGCAGTACCAAAATTACCTCCAGTGAATAATATCCATCCCAGACATGGAAATATAAAACAGTAGTATAAATAATATTCTACTTGAATATTTATTGTTGTCCATTCATATACAGCAATTTTGCTTTACATTAAAATGTGCTTTTTGAAATGTGTATGAAATGGAACGTTCCTGTCACAAATGGGAAAGAATTGTACCTGGAAAATATTTATGTAATAGGAAATGTCNAATTTTTTTACTTTCACTTTCTCCCCCCCAAAATATCAAACCATAACTCATTTGAGATTGGAATTTAGCAAAGTACACATTCCTAAGGACATATGGGCTTACTTCGCCTTTCAAAGCTTTAATAATGTAACACACCTTACTGAGCTTTGTACAGACCGACTGAATATGAATGTTCCATTTTAATTTGTGGGTTAAATTAATACCAAGAAACGTAAACTGTGCTGTATAATTAATTATTATATTTTTAAAGGTAATTACTGGCTCAATGCTATCTTGTAGTTTATTCATATGGAAATACATTGCTGTAGTCTTCTCATTATTTATAACCATATTATTCATTGAAAACCAAGATTCAGATTGCTTCATTACCTTATCTATTTTGTCTTGAAGAATATTTTTGTTCTTTTCTGTTACCAGTATACTGGTATCATCTGCAAATAGCACCACTTCCCCATTAGTTATATGGAGGGGTAGGTCATTTATGTAAATCAAAAACAAAAATGGGCCCAAGGTTGACCCTTGTGGAATCCCTACCTTTACATTCCTTATTTTTTAATTAGAATGATTCATACACTCTCTGTTGCCCTTAGAAATTAATTCCACATATAGTGCCCTCAGTGTTAGATATGATTTTAGCCAGACATTAATTTGCCCTCTTATCCCATAATGCTCTAATTTTTCTAGCAAAATATCGTCGTTAATAACATCATAAGAATTTGTTAAATCAGAAGTATCAATCCTATGTCTGAAACTGTCACATGTGAAGAATAAAAATTTATTTTAATGGAGAAATGATGGAAAGAGATTTAGTTGCAAATTGGAATAAAGGAAAGAAAGCAAGAAAGAAAGGGGATGAAAAATTAAGATGTGAAGGAAATGATTTCCATTGACCATCAATAAGCCTTTACCAGTGGTACTTATATATACCCCAGGAACAAAGATTGTAGTAAGCAGAATGTGGAACCAATCAGAGTATGGTATACTACCCTGATAAGATATCTAGAAATACAGTAAATTAAAAGAAACATATTTCCAGGACAAATTAATCTGCAGCAAACCTAATCATGTACGAAATTACTTTATAAATAAGTCCTTAAAACTATACAATATATTAAGATGTAACTGAAATTACTTTATCCTACAAGATATTTTTTGTTAAGAAATGACTGCTGATAATTGATAAAATTGATAATTTCTGTAACATCCATATGTTATACAAGGAAAATTGGACAAGTCAGTTGAAAACAACCTAACACTACATAGAGATACTGGGTTTTTGGACTTTGTCCATTGTCCGGATTCTAAATAACTAAGAAAAAACACAATGTGTCAGAAACTAGATCTGTTTCCATCCTCAGGTGAGGGAAGACACCTACTCTGTTGGGTCCCTTAGAAAGAGCTAGCCTAAATCACTGGACCCAGGGACCCAACAGAGTAGGTGTCTTCCCTCACCTGAGGACGGAAACAGATCCAGTTTCCGAAACGTTGTGTTTTTTCTTAGTTATTTAGAATCCGGCCACTGGACAAAGTCCGAAAACCCAGTATCTATGTGTGTTATACCCCATCATCAGAACCCTATAGTATCTGCTTGTACAACTTGTATGGACCCGGTATATACCCTTCCTTTAGAAAATTAGAACGCTTGAAAATTCAGTTAGCTAAAACCCTCAATCATATAACTTTCCTTAGGAGATGCAAATCTCAGGACATCATCCCCAAAGCCTTCTCTGTAAAGACGCCTTTCAATAGTTGACGCTCCTCCAAAAAGGGACCCAACAGAGTAGGTGTCTTCCCTCACCTGAGGATGAAAATAGATCCAGTTTTTGAAACATTGTGTTTTCTCCTAGTTATTTAGAATCCAGATGGTGGACAAAGTCCGAAAACCCAGTATCTCTGTGTGTTATACACCATTGTCAGAACCCTATATTATCTACTAACACTACATGTCAACAACTTTTAAAAATGTACAAAACAATATACAAGACAATGTACAATACAGTCCCTTTTTAATCAATAACCCCTTGCTATAGCTTACCAACCATGGATGACTACTCCCAGCAATTCACTATGAAGCAATAAATATACTTAAACCAGCAAAAACACAAGTCAGCCATGTAAAACAAAGCATCACACATTTAGTGAAGTTAGCAGTCCAAAGACCATCTATATACTTATATATTTATTTATTTATTTATTTACTTCATATCCATGGATCATTATGCATGATATAGGAAAAGTAAAATACTTTACAGTAATAAAGACAAATAATAATAATAAAATAATATAATGATATAATAATATACTAAGATAATACAGTGATGATTCTAATAATAGAACTAATATAATTGTTTAAAACACGACACCGCTGTATGCCTCAAGACCAGATCCTTCTTTCCCGGCACAAAATACTCTGTTATCCTTGATCTCGTTCCTGTAAGAAAAAAAATACAGAGTAGGGCAGTAGGCATTCCTATAACATTACTAATATTAAAATCTACAAGATACTTCCGTATCATATTGAAACTAACTCAAATTACCAAACTACCATCTATCGTTGTTACTAAAAACCTCTTGTAGAGAATAGAAAAAGTTTTGTACTAAATAACTTTTTAAATTTCTTTTTAAAAACCTTACCATCTTCTGTTATTTTTAATTTGAAGGGTAAGTTATGTATTTTTATTCTCATGTTACACTTTTTTTACAACAAGCAGTGTTTCGTAATTGAACCTACAAATACTCTTCCCCTTTTGTGTTACACTTATGAATATCGGTATATTGAGTCAGATCTTATTTTTTTTATAGAGCACAAGATCTCTAATATATATAATGAAGTTACAGTTAAAATCTTAAAGTCACCAAACAAACTTCTACAAGACACACTGTTTTTAACTCCCTTTAATAAGTCTTAGATCTTTTTTCTGTATTTTAAATACTTCATCATTGTCATTTACTGTCCCCACTCCAAAATATAATACATATTTTAATATAGATTCAAATTTTGTAAAATTAACATTTCTTAATAGAGGTATAATTACTGAGTCACATAAGGATTTAATCAAATAAAGAGGGTTTGTTTAATTTTTGACAAAGTCAAACATGGTATACTGGTTATCACTTTCCTTTTTGTGTTTTTATTCTTCCATCAATTATTTGAGCTTATTAAAGCGATATATATGGATGTATAACATGTTCAACCTCATAATACAACGTCGGTACACGCCCACACTGACGTCATAGACACAAGGAATATAACACACCCAAGAACAGTAAAAGCAACACAGCGTGCCACAAACAGATACAGGACAATATCAAAGGTAGACCAAAATAAGAAAAGTTTTTATAAAACGTAATAGGATTGCTGAAATAATACAACATACCCATAATATATCTGCAGAACCCTCTTCTCGAGAATGACAAGGCGGCACACATTTGGCCACCATCAAAAAAAGAATTATAAGAGGGACAACACGAACCTTCTTGGTTTACGAATCCCAGTAGAGTTTTAACAAACCAGTTATAAATATTTTAATGTATTGGAACAGCCACTGTAGTTGTAAAGACTTTAGATTTTATACCCAATTGTATATTATTAACTTTTATCGGACGAAC